TGTGCATCAGTTTTACAGATCTCATTCTCTTGAATACAGACTGTTGGTTCCTTGCCTCTCCGGCAGATGCACTCCGACTTCAAAGGAAGCTCCCCAATTAGTTGACTCTTACGACATGCTTTTGGGGAGGCAGTGGGTCTATTCTTGTTTTCCCCACAATGGGGCCCCGGAACCCACACAGGGGATTACTTTACTTGTTTACCTGGCATGTTTTCCAGCCTCTAGATTTCCTTTACTTGTTTACCTGGCATGTTTTCCAGCCTCTAGATTTCCTTTACTTGTTTACCTGGCATGTTTTCCAGCCTCTAGATTTCCTTTACTTGTTTACCTGGCATGTTTTCCAGCCTCTAGTTTTCCTTTACTTGTTTACCTGGCATGTTTTCCAGCCTCTAGATTTCCTTTACTTGTTTTCCTGGCATGTTTTCCAGCCTTTAGATTTCCTTTACTTGTTTACCTGGCATGTTTTCCAGCCTCTAGATTTCCTTTACTTGTTTACCTGGCATGTAGTTCTAGCCTATTATTAGTTTTATAAAAAAAAACCATCAAGCAAGTGTTAGGTCATCATCATACCACTCATCTTTACCTCCCAAGACATATTCTAGCCTTAGATTGGTGAACCAGGCAGTCCAACTGATTTTTTAAATGTTCCTTTCTATGGATTTGAGGTATGGCCACCAAAGTGACTTCTATCTGTTCTAATTTATTCCAAAAATTAAGACTTGGCTGTCGGTTCAAATATTTTATATAAAACACATGCACAACAAGCAGACTTTCCAAATCAAAGACATAACATTTTTCAAACCCCCATGTTCCACCTTACATTAATTAATAAAATAATTTTTCTTCAAAATTAACAAATAAAACAGCAGACACAGATTCAGTCAAATTACTCATCTCTAAACTGTGGCAATTGAACCAGACAGTGTAGATGGTGGAGACCAACTCATAGACAACACACAAGAGACCATATTCAAACACAGCAGACAACACAGCTGTGGCAATAATGAAAATGTCACCCATGAACACAATTACATGAGTTCAGTGTAGATATCTTCGGGCAGATGCTCCCTATAAATCTGTGTACAAGCCGAGAAATCCACAGCAACAAGGCTGTTCTTTCAAACACTAACAAGTCACACAACATAATGCTCTTTAATCTCCACTCCCAGATGAAATATCACCTCACAAATGTGTACCATTCTCATAGCTGTTCTTCCAAACACCAAGTCAAAAAACATAAAAATGCTGTCTGTCCTATTCTTTGGCCTGTGTTACCTCATATTTGTGTACATGGCTGACAACCCACATTCACTCTAAGCTGGATGCCTATAACACACACTAGACAGACTCCACCCAAAAACAACAAAATATACACACTTTAAGATGCATCTCTGGGTCTTTAAAATTAGATCAAATTATGGCAGCCATGCGTAGCCTGATGTTCTTTAACAATATACCGTTACTCACACATTACTCTAAATGATATGTATCACACACAAAAACTGCCATAGTCACATTTCAGAAAGAAATAATGGCATGAGCAGCACTCGTACAGTATGATGTCCTAGCAGTAGTAGTACGCCATTTATGTCTGGCTGCTAACAGTAACCATCCTGAGAACATCAGTTGAAAAAGTCAAAGTCACTTGTGGTCACTCTATGATTCTTTATTAACTTTGTATCATAATTTCTACCCAAGTTTTTCTTTTGCTGACGTGCATGCACATTATTTGTTTTACAGATTCATTATATGGAAGTGAAGGAGAGCCAAAACACCTGTTACCCACCTGCAGACTCAATCACAGACATGACAGCACACCAGCAGATGTATAAGCACACAACAGTCAAATGTACGCTCACTCCCAACTCTTACCACTTACTCACAAAGTTATTTGCTCACAACACAAAGCTTACAGAAAGTGCTAACCACTAGCCACTGATTTGCAGGGAGCGGCTGAAGATGTCCAATTGACCATAAAAGTTATCAAACTCACACAGAACCAAAAATTTAGATTCTGAATGTATGAATTCATAAGAGTGAGTGAGTGGTTGAATGATTTTACATAAGCAAGAGTATCTTCTCAGTGGCGGATTTCATATCTTACATGGCTAACCCTTCCTGGATCGCGTTTTCAAATGTAATTTTCCCCCACAGAATTCAATAATGTGTATTCCATATGCCGCATCACATCAATGACATTATATCATGCCCCGTGGCCACTTATTTTCTCTAGCTCTCCCGAAGCTGTCTGAGAATCTACTGATTACCTCAGGTACATCAGAAGGTTTCAACATTTTCTATGTGGCCATTTAAACGACTACTGAAGAATTTATGTGCAACAGATTTGATCAAGAATGAAGCTGAATTTGAGGCTGTTTTATGGAAAACTTTGACTAAATCTGTTATCACTAGTGTTCAGGCTGATCCAGGAAACTAAAGCTAAAGACACGACTCAGTATTTATACATGCACCAAGGGTTGAAAATTCAAAGACAGCCTTCAATTAAAAAGGCAGCAGGTTAAAATCTAATCTAGGTAGTGATACTGGATGTCTAACTCTCTCAGATCAAGGAGTAAAACAGGTGTTGTTTGAGTATTACAAATAACTCAGCAGTAGGAAATCTTAGAGTAGGCTTTAAGGACACTGCTCTAGCAACATTTGAAAATAAAAAACACACACCTCCCCCCACCAGACACAGAATTATTTGTGGGATTCTGAATTATGCTGCAGCTGTGCGCTGAGCTGAGAATCTCCTTGTATAGTTTAATGACAGAGATAGAAACATCCAGTGGAGTTATCAATGTGTACAATCATTCTTCAGAGTTTACCACTAGAGCTCTGCTCATTATAAAAGAAAGAGATAGATGTGCTGTGACAGACAGCACACTCTCTCACCAAGATAGCAGTCCGGGTTCAGACCCACCCTCCTCTCTCCGACCGGCACAGCTCCAGGATCCAAACAGCCAGTGGATACAGACCCACTGCGGCATAAAGGGAAATGGTAAACAGAGTTGCAAAAGATGTAACAAAGAAAACAACACATCTCTACATTGTCATTACCAGAAAAATCAAATCAATTTTCAAAGGGAAATACCAGGAATTGTAGGGAGAACAACCCAACAGTAAACATCCACAAGACCCCATTAGCAGTCTCAACAAAAACAATACAGAACAATTGTCCATCTACAAACAGGTGACTGCAGGCTCAACGACCACATGCATAAAACAAAAGACTTCAGTCCCCATAGTGTGCATCTCAGACCTAACCTATACAGTACGTGAGACGCCACAAAGATAAACCTGACTCCAGAGCAAAGTGTGCACAACGAGCAGTGGAAAACTATGGAGGACCTGCAACTGACAGTGAGGCTCACAGAGGCAAGCCACTGAGTATATGAAACTGAATTCCAAGAAGGAGACAAACCATCTCACAGAATGTGGATCAGATAAACTGGAATATGGAAAGGTGGCGAAGAAAGAAGAGAGCTGGCCTCCACACCTCATTTTCTCATAGCCAAAAGTTGGTCAATGGTCCAAGACTTCACAGTCCACTAATAGTTTATTCCAGGGCACCAGACAGAGAAAACAAGAAAGCCTGGTCACTGAAATAATCTGCTAGCTTCGTCAACCTGAAGGTTGGAGTCAAGTCAAGTCACCGGAGGCGTGGGTTGGGTTGGGCTTGAGGTTGGCTACCTCATCCTGTAAAAACAATAGCCACAAAAACCAACCAACCATGGATAAGTCAAAAAGAAAAAGCAAGTAAAACACAGCCAACCAAGATGAGGGGAGGCTCTTCAAGTAGAAGAAGTATGACACGGTGTGGAGAAAGCCGTAAGGAGTCCGGATCGTTAACGTACCTCCTTTAAGCTAGGAAAACCTCCAGAATTGGCACCTGGAATGTTAGGGCATAGGAATAAAGGAAGGCCAAAAAACACACGGAGAAGAGAGCTGGAAAATGAAGTTAGAAAGATCGGGAGGACATAGGGAGAGCTCTATGTAATGGCGAAGGATAGAACGACTTGGCGTGAGTTGGTTGAGGGCCTATGCTCCATTGGGGGATAGAAATTCAGAAGGGAAAAAAAAAAAGAAATAAAAAACACATTTTTTTTCTTTATGTACCAGTAATGAGGATGTCTTGATTGAAACTCACTCACAAAAACTGGTTGCTTACATGAGAACCACCCACCTCCGGCCACAGCATGAGGAGAGTAACAAACACGACAGTATTTCATAACAAGAAAAAAGGGGGTAAGAGAAGATATTTTAACAGTTGGGACCACGGCACAGAGGAATGTACAAATAAAAACCAAACACTGGCAATACAGGAGACAGCCGTCAGCTGGCAGGCACCATGACCGATGCAGTGATACCAGGCATGGACTATAAGACTGAGAAAGAAAATGTCCACCAAATGCGGCTAAAATGAAATTTCATTTTCACTGTTAAGTTCGGAGAGTAGTTTTCTCTAAACGAATTATCATCATTGAAACAAACATTCCCTCATAAGGGACTTAATGTTTTGTGAGGGGAAAGAATAGACCCACTGTCTCCCCTAACAAGCATGTAGAAAAGTTGACTTATTAAGGGTGTATCCTCTAAAGACAGGGTGCATCTGCCTGAGAGGTAAGGAACCAACAGTCTGCATACAAAAAAAGTCATATCTGTAATAAAGATATGCGGGCAAAACTCAAGTTCTGAAACAAGGCCAAAATCCAGAAGTGGACAAACAAACTGAACTGTACCCTGAGTTTACAGCAGGTGAACACCAGGAAGAAGAAGAAGAAGAAATAACGTAAACCTCCCCGTAAGACTGTATGTTTAGATAACAGTGTTAGCTAATTTGCGGACGTTCTGCACATATAGTAGTAATATATGTGCTATGCGGTAAACAAAACCTGATCCACATTTAATATTGGTTAAAAATACAAAATATTCAATTTCACATTAGCAACCAAGTCAACTGCTCACAATTTCACCCTGGGATTTAAACAAATTAAAATCTATGATCTTGACGGTTTTGCTGGCTCATCAGAGCCAGAACTGCTGTCTTCACTCTCGCTCGACTGACTATCACCTCCTGCAGCAGCGGCGGCAGCTTTGGCTCTCATTGACTGCAATGCTTTCTCCCTGAGACGACGCTCAAGGTCCTCTCCTTTCTCCTATAACAGAAAAATGACACGAATGTGAACCAAGAATAACTTCAAGAGGAATACCCACAATTTACAACTCTTCCAGTGCCACAAAGTGTTGAATTCAATTGTGCCTATACTCAAGAGTTTGTATCCTAGAACAATTTTTTTTAGACTTGTAAATTTTAAAAACATAGCTTTGGGGAGAAAAAACGGTGTTTCAGTAAGAACTGCAAAACAAATGGTTAACACAACAGAAGAATAGGATAGGAAAAGTTGAGAGACATGCTCCACATATAGTGTAACCAACAAGCTTATGGCAAGTTTTTTGGTTTTGAAACAGTTAAGAACCCCCAAAATACAGGGTTATTTAAAATGATGGGATAAACTTTCAGTCATGTATATTTCCAAATACATACATTACATATTATTAATATACTGTACATAGAGAGAGAGAGAAGGGAAGGGGTGGCCAGGGAGAGAAGGCCTAATGTTTTGAATACACCTCTATCAAAAACTTTGGCCGGCCTGTAGAACGGTATCGCAGATGCAGTGAACTCAGTTATGTAAGAGATGCTTCTTTGTGTCTGCCATTAGTCTGGCTATTGCTTAGATTTGTGCCAAGCAACAGACCAGGCTCACAATATCTGTAAACTTTAGACCTTTTTCTTGTGGGTATATTATTATTATGTAATGTATATCCAAGGTAATATATATGAATGAAAGTGCATCCATCACTTTGAATAAAAATAACCATGTATTATAAATAAATAATAAGAGATAGATAAGCACTAGTAAGAGAAAAAAAGAGAAATGGAAAGGTGAATGGATAAATGGAATATCAGAGGCTGTCAGCACCAATATCTTTGCAAGGTTCACACAAGAGGACTCTTTAAAACCAGCTAAAGAATGTTAAAAGAGGTTTCTAGGGTTCTAGAGACAAGACAAGAAAGGAGAGGTTAACCAGCTTGATCTGAATTTAAGCAAATATTGGGAAAGATATTTTTGGAGATAAATGGCTTATTTATGAATAATCAAGATCTACCACCTATCAAAAACATGGATGATACAAGCAAATAACCACAGACATTAAAAAGAATAGGAAGACAATACAAATTAACTACCCCCCAAAAAAAAAAACCCACAATAATGACATGAATGTGAAGCAAAGCAGAAAAGGTGACCCATTGCTTCTAAAATATTCACATTCATTTCTCCTCTACATTTCATCACTGGGATGAACCTCCAGCACCATAAAGTTAGCAGCACAAGTACATCTCCTCTCCCCCATCTTCTACCAAGGGCTAGACACTTCTTTTTCTTATTCCTGCTGTATCTTTCAGCTATGACATCCAGGGATGTCCGTGTATTTGTCACCATGAGCCAGTAACTGTAGACCTTCATGTGATTGATATTGTAAGCATGAGCCAGTAACTGTAGACTTTCATGTGATTGATATTGTTAGCATGAGCCAGTAACTGTAGACTTTCATGTGATTGATATTGTAAGCATGAGCCAGTAACTGTAGACCTTCATGTGATTGATATTGTAAGCCAGCGGTTCCAGATGTCCATGCCCTCGACACTGTCAGCCATCTGTGCTAGGACTGGCCAACTCTCCTTTGTAAGTTATATCATCAGCAACCTACCACCAACTCTCCTTTGTAAGTTATATCATCAGCAACCTACCACCAACTCTCCTTTGTAAGTTATATCATCAGCAACCTACCACCAACTCTCCTTTGTAAGTTATATCATCAGCAACCTACCACCAACTCTCCTTTGTAAGTTATATCATCAGCAACCTACCACCAACTCTCCTTTGTAAGTTATATCATCAGCAACCTACCACCAACTCTCCTTTGTAAGTTATATCATCAGCAACCTACCACCAACTCTCCTTTGTAAGTTATATCATCAGCAACCTACCACCAACTCTCCTTTGTAAGTTATCATCAGCAACCTACCAAAAGTATTACATCAAAATCAACATTGTCTTCAGAAAATGCACTCTGAAAATGTGACCTTTGCCAAAACAGGTCTCAAGCCTGCCAGGAAACATGGGAACTGTCTCTAAAGTCCTCCAGAAGCTGCAGAAGGTCTAGCCTGTCAGCCTTAGATGAAGCTTTCTCAAATGACAAGCTACATGCCAGAAGCTACTGCAGACCGGCTGATCTATGTTCAACAGTGAGAGGACTGACAATGACCACAAGACACTTCACCTGTACATCCGCACCATCCTTTCTGTGCTTGTGTTTCCTATGTTTCTTGTGTTTTTTATGCTTCTTTTCCTTCTTTTTCCTCTTCTTTTTTGATCCTTCATCCGAATCTGAGTCCTGAGTATAAAAATTATAATTAGGTAACAATGAGCATCCACAAGGTGACAGGGCAGTGAACACTTGGAAGATACAAGAACACGAAGTCCTCAAAATCTGCTTGTCTAAGAACATTTGTACAGAATGGTACAACTACTTAAGAATCATTATGTGGATCATAATTTAGATAGAAAGCTGCTGGAAGATCCATGGCAATACCTCAGCTTTACAGTCCAAACTTCAAGAGGATCGTTACATTTCTGTTAAACAAGACCAGAAAAAATATATAAGTGTTGAATGGCACTTATAGATGACATGGGAAAATAGTGTATAAATAAAAAGGCATATGAGAAAGCTATGTGCAAATAAGGATTTGAACCTAACACCTCCAAACAATGACAGAACAACGCTGAAGGTTAAAGTGCACTTCTGTGACCAGCATCCAACCAGATGCCCTTTAAAAAAGGTGCCATCATTAACCACATCTTCCAGTGGTGCAAGCCCACAACTATGGACTATGGGCAGAATTCACAGCCAGCCTTCCATGCAGTGCTACAAGCCACAGAAATGTCCACCAACCAAGCACAGATAGGCCAGCTAATATACTGGACTATTATGCTAGGTCTAGAATATCACCAGATAATGCCATGAACAGAAGACCTGGAAGGCTGGTGAGGTCCATCAGGGTCCAATCAGTTTACTCAGTGCGGAGAGGAAACCCATGCAGAACCCAAGAGGCCAATGAAATACTATAATTAAATTAGAAGTGTGATTAGACCGAACTCGGAGAAGACAGAGACAACATAAAACTGACTACACACTAGACAAGAAAAAACAATGAAGCCTTCTTTTAGATCACAAAAGAGATGTCTCCTGCGGGCTACCTCATGGCTGAGGCGGCATACAGGAGATTTAAACTGATCGCCCCACGCAGAAGGATGCAAGCGTGCTACCACATTCAACCAGTCTCACACATGGTGAGCAAGTATTATCACCAAATACGGATGGCCTTGTTCAACAAATTGCTAAACTAAAGGACATTCCCCCTGTGCCAAAGCTGACATGTTCTAATGGTTGATGGAGGCAGTTATGCCATCCTTCTGGCAAGTCCTTACACTACACTCAAGATATCTCAAGTTTGGAGTGCAGCCTTCTGTCTTTTTTCAGGGCTCTGCTCCCCAGGGATGTCCCAATGAGGATGTGTCGGTCAGGACCACATGCCCACTTTCTGCAGTGTTGGAAACAAGCTACAGAACAGATCGTTATGTATCTGCTCACTGCCTTCATGTCCCAATGAATGCCAACCTGGCTATCCGGCCTGCTGTTTGTGCTAAGCTCAGTCCACTGCCCACCAATGATGTCAATGGGACATTAAGCACACTACCGTGACTTTCTGGCAGTCATACGAGAAACACAGTGAACGAGACTGGTGCCGAAATACATAAAATATGAAAGAAAGCAGCGCACAACATCACTGTGACCAACCTCTACCATGGAGACAGTACAAACAAAACAGGAAGCTACTACAAACTGGCTTCGTTAAAAGGAAAAGCAACTTCAAGTCACTGTGTGGTTAGTCTAAACATAATCAGAAGAGCAGTTCACTTGTCAAACATCTATCACCGAACTTAAAAACTGAACGACACCTACTAGCAAATGTTTAACTTACCTCGGTTTCACTTTCACTGCCTGATGCTACTGATTTGTCAGGTTTTGCCGGTTTACTTTGTAGATCACGCCCATTTCGAGAAGGACTTGGGCTTCTACCTCGTTCTTTCACATCCTCCTCTCGTCTCCTCCTTGAATCAATCTTACGGTCATCGTCGTCTCTGCCGTCTCTCTGTTTCAGGTTGTCGTCCCTCTGCCTGGGTCTGTCTCTGCCCTCCCTGGGAGGGCTCATGGGAGAGGATCGATCCCTCATCATTCCTCTAGAGTTTCTATCCTCCTGTATGCTCCTATTGCGGAATTTTGGAGCAGGGCTCGGAGAAAGGTCTTTACGTTTTTTCACAGGTGGGGCATTCCTAGAAGGGGATGGGGACTGACTCCATTTGCTGCCTGTACGTGTGTCTTTCCTGCTGACATCTCTCTCTTGAGGTTTCCTGGGTGCTTCATCCTCCGAGCTACTGCTGCTGCCTGACGGGGATGCAGGTCGCCGCTTCTGTTGTTTTGACGGTGCTTCAGGGCTGGCTGACCTCTGCTTCACTGGTGCCTTTCTGGGGGGTGGTGATCTCGGGGAGACATGTCTGCCTCTGCTTCGTGGTGACAAGGAAGGTCTTGCCTGTCTCCTCCTTGAAGGGGATCCTTCATTTCCACGCCTGTCTCTTCTAAAGTCGCCACCATCAACAGATCCCCTCTGCATCTGCCTGACAGGAGAGAGATACTTTGACTGACTACCCCGGCTAGGACTTCTGGAGGGACGCTGTCTATCTGGTCGGCCTCCTCTTTGAGGTGACCTTGACGTAGGCTTAGATGCCCTTTTCACACTGGGAGGAGAAGGTGATCTCCTTTGAGGGGCACGGAAAGAGGTTTTAGCTTTCTTTGGTTCTGGTGACCCAGACTCTTCCGACTCTTCTTCACTTTCAGAGTCTGACGATGAAGATTCTTCTTTTTTCTTTTTAACTTCTTCCTTAGGAGGCGATTTAGGTTTTGGAGCACCTTTTGACTTTGGAGGCACTTCACGCATTTTTGGTGAGGCTTCGGAGCCAGAGGAGCTTTCCTCTTCCGATTCTGACTTTGGGGGTGGCTTTTTCCTCGGCTTCACAGGTGGTGGAGATACCGATACTGGAGAATGCTGTCTCTTTTTCAGTAGTGGAGACAAAGGTGGGGATGCCTTGCGTCTACGTACAGGTGAATGTGTAGGTTGTCTAGCTGGCGAGGCAGACACACGTCCGCGCCGAGGCTTTGGTGATGGATGGCGTCTATTTGTTAAGGAAAGAAAAGGTCATGTATGTTATTTTCTAAATGAGAATACGGGCAGGCATTAAATACATTAGTGGCTGCATCAATAAATAAATACAGGTAGCATTAGTTTAATTACAACAGTTTATAATAACAAAAACAACTTTAGTAGTAAAACAACAAATTAATTTTTTTAACTGAAATGAGCAAATGAAATCCTTAAGTCAGCATAGCAGGAAAGGAGTTGAAAATAACGATGTCATTTATGTGTGTGACAATGACTTTCAATGTCTGTCCAAGACCTTTTTGGGAATGAGTAGTCTCACCGCCCCATTCCACATGGCTTCTGATGGCTCTAAATTGTTTTCTAGCGATGCATTATGGGGGGGGGGGGGGTGGTGGTGGTTAACCCACAGTTCATTACCACACAGTCCATAATATCATGACTAATTAAGAGTTTGCTGAAAACAGATGTATTTGGCTAAAGTGTGCAGGTATCACAATCTAGCTGTAATCCACAACACAATATGTCAACTGCCCCTCTAATGGTGAATGCAAAAGATGGCAAAACTGAGCTGCTTTCAAGCGGGGAACAACCAATAATGGCAAGAACCCATGTCTGGAAGTGCACAGATCGATGCCACTGGGGAATCTTGTCTTTAGAAAACGAAGTTGATGTGAAGATTAGGTAAGTGCACCATCATGAGGCAGTTAGGGCAAGTTCTCATCATTTACACGATAACAGTTTAAAAGGGCTGACCTTTTAGTTCACTGCCCTTATGTGGTATCACAATCTAGCTGCGGTAGACTTCTAGACTACAGTGAGAAGGACAAGAGGATATCCTACAACAAAAAAGATACCCATTTACTACCAGATAACCATCTTGTGCCACAGCGAGATAGAGGGTATACTGCATATATGACCTCTGAAATAACCATTCTGTACTACAGCAAGATATATAACCTAATAATGCATCTGAGACAACAATTAAATACTAAAGAATAAGACAGACAGGATTTACTACACAATGAGTGATCAAGCAAACTATTTTTAAAGGGTTAAGAATAGGGCACGCAGGCCAGTCTACCATTCTGCCCTTCTAGTCTCCCTCCTTTCATACATCAAGTAATAGTAAACATCAATAGCATCAAAATATTCAATATAAGGATTGGAATTTGCACATTCCTAACTACAGTAACCAGTAGAAGTTGTAATAAATCTTGGGAAATGTGCGCTATTTCTAAAATATCTTTTATCCTGTATATAATCCGTGCTCAGATAATATTCAAAGTTTCCAATTGTACGTATAGAGACTAATCGTATTTTTTTTACTTTTGCAAGATAGCTCTACAACTGAGCTGTCGAGTACACCAAACTTGTTTGGTATAGGTCTATCCTCCGTTTAGGGATGTGTAATATGTTTAGGCGTTTACTTTGCCTTTCATTATATTTAAACGGCCATAAGTAACATGGAGCCTTTTGGGAGAATATTTTGTTAATAAATGTTGCCTTAGTGAAAGGTAGACGTTTAGTAAGCGGTAGTAGCACAAGACCTTTAAATGTTTCAGAGTTGACTGTCTCATGATTATTACTTATTAAGCGAATGGCGCGCTTTTACAGTGATGTGAGCTGCTTGATAACAGAATTGGAACAGCCACCCCATATTGTATAGCCAATAGTTATATGTCTGGAAGTGAGAAATTTAGAATATCTTTCATGCGTTTTTGTCAAGAAAGTTTTCAATTTCTGCAAGTTGGTAAACCTTTTTTTTAGCTGTTTGTTTCACAAGTGCTTGTACATGAAAGCTTAGGGTTTGATTTTGCACCTATAACATGGGACGGCCATTCTGTACCAAACAGTGAGGTAGAAAACAAAAGGATATACCCCATTTGACTCCTAAGATTACCATTCTACACTAATGTGAGAAAGAGAGATACTGCAAAACACAGCATCAGAGATATTATTCACACAGTGAGACAAGAGAGATGATATACTCTATAACATGGTATCTGAGACAACTATTCTATCAAATCTACATGAGCACACACTGACCTGGGAGGAGAATACCTTGGTGGCGGTGATCGGCGCCTGGGTGAAGGATTTCTCCTAAAGAAACAAACAAATTACATTTATAATGATGCCTCTCATCTCTTTCCGAACTAGGCAGCTCACAACCAATTAATCAATGACAGGACCTTTCAAGGACATCGCTCTCTTCACGACACGCCCGGAAGTTTCCCTTTCTTTAGGCAGTTCGCTAGCCCTGTGTATTTCCACAACCAATGCATCTTCAACGTCTTGTATCCACATTCCTGGCGGTCAGCCTCTGCCTCATCTTCCAGAACTTGCATCCCTCATCACCGCTCTCTCTAGACCATCATGGCACTTGACATGCAGCACACAATGCACTGACTGACTTCTCAACCTATGGTCCTGTAAGCAGTAGTGGTCAAGCTGCTAAATGCAGGCTTTGCAGTCCTAAAGTCTTGAAGCTAATTCTGCACTGAAACCATTTCTTTAACCCACTGAGGGCTTTCAGATCGACCAGGCCTAAAACTGGTACCAGGAAATAACAAGAGGAGTTAAACTGGGTGACGTGATGTTGAACACAGCAGTCATCAAGTGATGACTGGCTCAGAAATGTGTCCACACAATATGCCTGATGCACCAGATGTAGACAAGAGATTTACTTCGCTTGCAGCACAAAGTACACATCACTCTTCTTATGCCATCCAGCTATAACAAATCTAACGGAACACCTGTATCACTCATGTCCCACTTGCACACATCTTCATATCCCATTACAGGCTGACCAAAGCCTTTACCAACAAAAAAAATATTTTCCAACATGTTTATATATATACACACACACACATATATATATATATATATAATTCAACCTCCATGTCTTCATAATGTACCTTCTGCGAGCCGGAGAATATCTCCTTATTACTGGACTGCGGCGCCTTGGCTCTGGAGTCCTGTGTCGACGAACAAAGGGTGATGGAGTTCTAGGTTCATGTTCTTGTCTTCTCCCTAATAAATAAGAAAGACCTCATCATAAATCAGGCGCAGCTAAAGAACATATTCAGATTGATCTGACCACATTACCTGATCACAGCAGCCGCCTTTAGACAGTGGCTAGAAAACTCGTCTGTTGAGTCACAGCTAAAATTGTTCAAACCCATCGAGGTGGAGATTCTAGTGTTCAAACCCATTGAGGTGGAGATTCTAGTGTTCAAACCCATTGAGGTGGAGATTCTAGTGTTCAAACCCATCGAGGTAGAGATTCAAGTGTTCAAACCCATCGAGGTGGAGATTCTTTCTGAAAACTGATCATGGCTCCCAGGTTGACCCAGCCAAAAATGGATCAGGAAACACCCGGAGAAGTAAAGGCGGCCTGAGTAATCACTGATCACTCATCAGCTGGCACCATGTACCAGTATGACTCGAGGTGAGGAAACAAATTCATTTACTTTCAATTACACTATTAAACAACTATAAGAAAACTTTAAGTGTACACATTAAGTTCTCAAATCAGAAAGTGTCAGTGTTGGCTTCTTGCATATTCTAGATCATAATGTCTTCTTGTGACCAGTTTTATCTTACTAAAGCATTCCTTTCTTTCAGTGTGAGTAAATCTGGGGCGGGAGGGGGTGTGTTTAAACATTATCAATAGTAACAATAACTGCCATTACCACTTGTATTTAACTTTTGTGGTATGTGTGTGTGTGTTTGGTGGGGGGTTGGGCCTTTACAGCCGCACAGCTGGTGCCGACACCAGACTGTACAGGTTGGGATTTTTTTTTTAATACAGCTTCTAAGAATTCTCTTTTCTCATTATTCCTTTATATTAATATTAAGTATGCAGAAAAACAAAACTATTCAACTAGCGAAACAGGGGCCAAATCTGGCCCATGGAGGCCTAGCAAGTGGTCTGTGGATCACTGCCAGTTGTTATCATTTTATGCTGGTGCTTGGCCCTTTGGCCCGTAATGATACCTACCCATTTACACAATGTTGGTCTCTGAGTAAACGTAGTTGTAAAAGAGACTAAGGATGTGCTGAAAGGATAGATTTCACAGTCTAGCTGTAAACCACAACATAACATGCCAACCAAGAAAGAAGATGAAGTAAAGGTAGAATCTGACTAGTTCTGGTTTAAGTATGTGGTTGATTCACTCTCTGTTCTTTGCAGCAACACAACTCATGTTTGTTCCCATCATCAGAACAGTTTGTGCTTCGACACCACCAGTTTAATACCAAACCTAAATCACTCAACACTGAACTACAACAGATCAATACAACCCTCACCATTAACTGGCGGCTGGGATGCTCCCTCCTCATCACTTGATTCTCCGGATGATGAGCTTGATGAGTCTTTGCCACTGTCATCTTCATCGTGCTTTCGGTAATTTCTCCTCTTCTGGACACTGGCTTTCTCTGGTGTAGATGCTGCTTCATTCTGTTTGAAAAAAACAAAGATGTTTTGTTACAACTAACTACTGAAAAATAAAAATAAGTAAAGGACCTTTTTTTGCACGCCTTTAGGCGTATAGAGCATACAGGACTAGACATATATTTTTTATAGACAATCGGCACAAGATGGGTGATGTGGGCAGCATCACGCTGGCCGCCTCTACCTCCCGGGACTGCACCCGTGAACCCACTCAAGACTGGGTTTACCTAGGAGCCAAGGTCATTTTTTTTTAAAAGTCCGGCTCCGCCAGGAAGCGAACCCACGACCTTCCGATCCGCGGTCACTGACTAACTATTGTGTTCCCCCTTAAACAATACTTGCCCCAAAAATTAATCTGTAGCATGATTTTTCAGGATGCTTTTAACATAAGCCTTGCACCAAAAATAGGCCATAATTAGGATCATCATCTAGATTTAGAGATATGTTGCAAAATAGTCAGTCACAGTACAGAGACCATTGGTAAGCACCTGAAAATGAGCAGATGTGTTGCAAAATAGCCAGTCACCGTACAGAGACCACTGGTAAGCACTTGATAATGAGCAGATGTGGTTTATAATTCAAGTAAGTTACCCATGTGAAACAAATGAATTCCGGTTAGAATTTAGGATTAAGAGTTATGATAATGTCCCAGAAGAGGAACTGTATTTGAACGAATGTAGAATTGTGTTATTCAATAAATGTAGATTTTTGTATTTAAAAAAATAATAATAAGACATCCCCGAAAATTAACCCTAATGCATTTTGTGAAGCAAAAATTAATATCAGACCTGATCTTATTTTCTGGGGGGAAACTTCTCAGTAAATGACCCTTTTTCACACTAGCAAGAAGTTCTTTTATTTAATGGATCAGGTGACACTGGGCAGCAGTCATCACCATGATGGTCCCCTTCACTTCCATTTTAGCCTGGGTTGACCTCCCGGGTCATCTATACAAATCTGTCTTGCTAGGGATCCAAACTCAGGACCTCTGAGCAGGCAAACTAAGCATCTAGTCACCAAGAAAGTGTGGCTGCCAACTAGAAGACAGCGCATGAGGGGAGCAGAAGCTGGCAACAGCCATCACCTAGTATGTAGTTTACAGCCAAACAATTTCTCCAGTCCTCAAGATGTGGTTTTACATAGAATCCTTAGAATTCCTTCAACAGTTAAACAAGAGCAACCCAGATGATTTCAAAGAGACGAGGGCCCAAAGACAACCTCACAAACACCAGAAAGAGATATAATTTTTTGGTCATGTTATGAGAAGATGGAAACTGGAACATGTTGTGACCACTGGAAAGATATGTGAAAAAAAGAAACAGGAAGACAATGCGAGAAGTTTCTTGAAAGCCTTTTGTCATGGCATGGAGTTGTCAACATACGCACCACCAGGTATATGTTGTTTGAAGATCGTAGATTGTGTCAACAGGCATGCTTGCCAATGCCAGTAAGGGAGGGAGGGGGGAGGGGGGGTCAGGCAAAAACTAAAAAGGCATACCCCTAACATGTCATAAAAGGCAAATAACTAAAAATTTGCTCAAATCAGATGTTTTGGGCCAGAAGTGCAAATATCGCAACCTATCTGTAAATCACAACATGAAACCAGCTTTTTAAAAGACATACTCAGAGGAAAAAGAAATTAACATTATGCCATAGTTACACGTTCTCAAATTAAAACTCACCGGAGCTTTGGATCCTCTTGGCTTTTCGTCATCATCATCTTCAGAACTGCTAGAACTTTCTTCAGAACTAGACCTTCAAATGATAAGAATACCACTGACATGACAATTGTACATTTTTACAATTTACATGCAGCCTACGTTGTGGAACAAGGTTTACCACATGGAAGATTGAACCAACTTCAGCCTTTGTAAGTGAGAGTTTAGTCTCTTGTGTCCTAATTTAATTGATTATTCAAAAAAACACATGGGACTTTAAGAAGGGAGATCAACATCTGGATGCCAGATTTTTTAGCATCTGACTGTCTTCACAGAGTGCCTGTTGAGAGACTTGATAAAATATTAATTTCAAATTCTAGCGACTATAATCTGAGACTACAGTGATTTTAAAAATTGGACATATGAAACGAATGATACGGCATAGAAATGAAGTCCAGGGCCTTGAAATGTTTTAGTCCCATCCTTGCATAATCTTCACTTCTTATCTTTCTCAAATTGTCTTCGCTTGATGCTTAGATTCCTAGTATGCGTTCAGGTGAAATAAGAATAGGCCCCCTACTTCCCTAACAATTAGGTCATAAAAATCTACTAATTAGGGATGTCTTCTTCAAAGGTGGAGTGCATCTTCCTGTGAGGCGAGGAATCAACAGTCTGAAAACAATATATCCTGATCTGTAAAAAATATGTGCGTGCAAAACTCAAGCTCCCAAAAGAAGACTAGAGTACAGAAGTGGATAAACAACTTTCCAAGAGTTTATGGTTCGTTAATACAAAGGAGCTCTTAGAATTTCCGGGGGGGGGGGGGGGGGGGGGGGGGGGGGGGGGGGGGGGGGGGGGGGGGGGGGGTCCTCCTAGACTCATCAGAAAGTATAAAAGAAGCAAAGCCAGGTTGAGCAAATTAACTGAAACCCACTTACCTAGCTTTCTTTTTAATATGTTCGGTTCTGCGAGGTGATCTTGACTTGCGACGAGGAGGTGATGACGGCGCTCGTCTTGGAGGACTTCTCCGTTTTGGTGGTGGTGAACGGTGTCTGGGCGAAGGTGACCTTCTCCTTGGAGATGGGGATCTTCTCCTTGGAGACCTGGATCTGCGCGGAGACCTTGACCTCCGCCGAACTGCAGGAGGTGAGTACCGGCTACGACCAAATCCAGACCTATTAAATAAAATTGTCATCACATGTACAACCAGCTAACTCCATGCTTCTAAGGAAGCGCAGACTGTTGTATAACCCCCCCCCCCCCCCCCCCCAATTAAAGTAAAACAATACTAAGTAAACAGCACTGATGTGCACATGCAGATACTGCGAAAAGTGGTCATTAGAAGAAAACCAAGATAAGAGAAAAATATGTAATTTAACCCCCCAAAAATTCTTTTAAATCGCATTCCTGACCCTTGCACATATACATATCACTAACATTTCACCACTATTATCTCCAAAGAATCTAGAACTATATATTGACATGCCATCATTTGTTTTAAACTCATCAATCAACAAGTCCTTTACAGAACGTCGCTCCCCTCATGGCACGCCAGAAAGTATCCCTCTCCCTAGCCCTCTCCAGCACCATGTGCTTTTAACGCCAGTGCGTCCTGTATCCATCTTCGCGGAGGTCAACCCCTGCCTCGATTCCCACAAACTGCACCCTCTATCATCGTCTTTTCCAAGCCACCTTGACTTTTAATGGGGCCAAAATACTTCAACTTTCAGGACAGGTTGCTGTTTACGAGCCAGTTCTAATTGATGTTCAACTCATGCAGAATGTCCACGCTTTTCCTCTTCTTGATCCATGGTATTGTGAGAATTTTTTCTGTAACATTTTAATTCAAAAGCACCAATCTTTTTCTTCAATGACTGAGTGAGGGTCCAGGAGTCACAACCTTTAGTAATCACAGGAAAAATGCATTATCTCAAGATTTTTACTTACTAATTTAAAGATGCTTTGCCATAAGTTCTTCATGTTGTTTAATGCAAGTCTTCTTCTGACTTCATTCGAGCAGTCTCCACTGTTGTTCACTAAAGAGCCCAAATATTCTAAATCGGTGTGATTTTCTATTTCTTCATTTCTGATTGTGATATGTGGTAGGTATGATGTGTGGTAGGTGTGCTGTATTTTTTTAACTAGCCACAGTAATAACAACACTTTAAAACAAACTGATGTCTGTCATCTCAAACTGTGACAGGATCTGAACTTAAGCCATCCTGCAATAATGGGGTTGTATTACTTCACTATGTGTCCCAAGTAACTTGCTTTAACTTGTTCTTACCCAGGTATTGTGTATTCTTTACTAACAAAGGCTGTTTTGATGAGTTAAAATGGAAGCTATATGGCAGAAGGATTTAAAGTAACAGCAGGAATACACTGGGTTAACAGTGATGCAAAGGTCAGTGAATGCACCTCAAATTTTTAGCAACACACTAAAGTTCAATTTACACAGCAGATGGTTTAATTTAAAGGTTGTTCTCATGACTTTCTGGCAGCGGTACCTGTTCTCCCACTTCTGGACTTTACCTAACTTGAGTTTTGTCTACACATTATATTTACAAATTTGACTTATCTGTACTCATACTGTTGGTTCCTCACCTCTCAGGCAGACGCACCCCGACTTGGAAGGAAACACTCCTACTTAGCTGATTTTTATCCCATGCTTGTTGGGCAGTGGGTCTATCCCCCCCCCCCCCCCCCCCCCAAGTGGATCCCCAGAATCCACACAGGGATGACAGTGGTATAAGAGTCACACCTTGCAGGAGATTGTGCCTTTGAAACATCATATTTATAAACTAAGAGATGGATATAGTGCAGTCAACCTTTTTCTGTAGAGATGAGTTCATTTACTTCATGGCCACAGCCCTCCAACACTGAACAGTAGGTCAACTCATGGCCACAGCCCTCCAACACTGGACAGTAGGTCACCTCATGGTCACAGCCCTCCAACACTGGACAGTAGGTCACCTCATGGCCACAGCCCTCCAACACTGAACAGTGGGTCAACTCATGGCCACAGCCCTCCAACACTGGACAGTAGGTCACCTCATGGTCACAGCCCTCCAACACTGGACAGTAGGTCACCTCATGGCCACAGCCCTCCAACACTGGACAGTAGGTCACCTCATGGCCACAGCCCTCCAACACTGGACAGCAGGTCACCTCATGGCCACAGCCCTCCAACACTGGACAGTAGGTCACAGCCCTCCAACACTGGGCAGTAGGTCACCTCATGGTCAGTGTTCCCTAATATGTTTTATACTGTTGAAAAGGATATCTCTTATCTGCTCCTGTTTTTTTTTTCTGCATCTAAATAGTTTTACTCTGAGTCAATAGGTGTTAATCTTTAAGGATGCAAACAGGAGTAATTTTTTTTTAAAGACAATTAGATTGACATACCTTTGACGGCTGTGTGGGGCTCTCCTATCTGGAGATCTTGACCTTCTGCTGTAACGTTTTTCTGGTGTATGAGATCTGCGCCTTCTATCTTTCTCCCTGTCTCTATCACTACGTCTCTTCTCTGGTGTCCTATCTCTGGTCCTCTCCTTGTCTTTCTCTGGTGTATCTCTTGTTTTCACTTCTTCTTTTTCATCTGTTTTTGCATCCCTGGCAGAGATAGACAAATTAAATTAATTAAAACACAAAATAGCAACTAAAAAACAAACATGTATAACAACTGGTTTCTTTCTGGTTGCTGATCTTAAAACAGTAGAGTATTGGTGTTTAAATAAAGATCCTTAGTCAACATGTAATGCCATAATCCACTCATAGATCATCCAAGGTAAATCTAAGCACAATTCATAAATTCCACAGTTGTGGCAATAACAGGAATGTGTAAACAAGAATCACATAGGCAAATAATACTTTGTGTATATTTTCTAAATCTAAAACGCAGTTTGGACAGCAACCAAACCAGCAGGGCAGGGCTATTCAACTAAATTATTCACAGGCCAAAATTGTGAAAATGGGGATCACCACAGACCAGATGCCCGAGTCCCAGCATGGAAAGATCATCAATACAATGCAACTGGCAATAATCGGCAGGTCACTCGCTAGGCTGATAAGTGGCCAGGTGAATAGTGCTGCAGTAGAGTATCAGGTGCCTGGCCTTACCAGAAAGTGGAGAGCAACTTGGAAGGACTCTAGTGCAGATTACAAATCTTTCAACAGTTATATAGGAAAAGAAGTGATTGACGTTAGCATATAGTTAAGCTGCAATTATAAATTCACCTTTATCCTCTTTCACATTTTCTGACAGATTACACACATTTCTTAGTATGGAGCATCAAGTAAAAGAGTTATGGCATCTGCCACAAAGTGTCCAGTTTGAATCCTGATGTAGGCATTATCGTGTCACACTCCACACAGGTCTTGATGTAATGGGTTAACTGACTAGCCTTTTGAATTAAAGTAAATCAATAGTATGTGTCTCCTGTGAAAATTATTAAACAGGGGGAACTTTAAAGTTAAAGCGGAGAGGACTGACTCTATTGCACCAAGTTATATCCTCTATGGCTCAGTCTCTCTCAGCAGAATGACCTGCCATCTGCCAAGAGCGGTGCGCACAGCATAAACTATGTACTGTGAGGCAAACAGTCTGACCACTTCGCAACTGAGACCTGCAAGAAAACTGAAAAGAATGAGCCTGACAAAGAGCTATCAGAGCTTAATGTGACATCAGGTATCTTGTAACAAGTGAAAAGGAGGTTTGATATGACACTGACTTTTCTTTAGAAATTAATATACAACAGCTAACTTATCAGGAACAATACACCCCTAGAGGAAAATAATTTGTACATGAAAAGAGAACAGTAAGTCGCCACAAAAAGGCTGCTGTAATTTATTCCAACAAAATTATAACTTGCACATATAGCAATATATGCACAGTTAATGTCCAAGAAATTAAAGGCTGCTGTGATTTATTCCAACAAAATTCTAACTTGCACATATAGCAATATATGCATAGTTAATGTCCAAGAAATGGAAAATTTACACAGCAAAACCAATGTAGTTTCAAGAGTCCAGAATGGTCAACTGTTTGGGTCCTTCTTTTTCTGCCTATGATTTCCCATCAGTATCTTCTCCTGTTTTGTTCATGTCCCCTCCATATAACCCATTCTAGTCAAAGCAACAGACAGCTGGTTTACCAGACTCAGTATTGTATTTACTTTGCAAGAGAACAGTAAAACCCAGGTTAAAAGAACATGGAACAAGAAAGAAACAAAGAACATAAAGCAAGAAGAAAGCACACAAGCTCACACACAAAGAAAGAACAAAGGATTCCCCAGACAGAAAAAAACAGCCAGTAAAGCTCACAGTTACAGTGTGTTTACCCTGCTTTCTCTGAATCTTTATCTTCATGATTTTCTACTTTAACCTCAGACTTTAAATCTGTGATGCCAGGAGAGGCTTCTCCATCTTCAGCATCTGTCTTAGCATCTTTTTTCTCTTCCTTGTCACCAGAAGACCTGCTCGTAGACAAATATTATCATAGATTCCCAAATATGTCAATCAACAAAACACTGATAGTCATTTACCACTGTTTACGAGTTTGAAACCAAAGTACTGGCACTTTATTTCTTTACAGATAATAAGAATACCATATGCAAAAAACTGTAGCTGCAAAGTTCAACTAATCCTAAACAAGTACAGAGTCTCCTCGACTTCTGTTCCAACAGGTCATAGGTCGACAATATATTTTTCAACACTATTTTTATTCAAAAGGGTTACAAGCATTTGCACACACAAAAAACAAAAACTTAATTTATGCCACATACCATTAATGTACCCCCCAAAAAAAAGTGAACAATGCATAACATGAACACAGTTGCAGGAACTTTTTGACACTGCTAATGTAGTTGTCTTTCTTTACTTCCTATTTTGTGTGTGTGTGTGTTATGAGTTATGATTTAGGTTATCTTCACGGCACTCCTAACACCTTCATGGGTGCTCATTCTTCTTTTAACATATACATCAGCACCCCGCGGTTGATGGTCCCAGTCCTACGTCGGTTGACAAGACTTCTCGTGCATGGCTGTGCCGATCTAACCCCCAATTCTTGCACTCTAGGCAGAGTCGTCGATGTGCTGCTCCAAAAATCCTCCAAACGTCCTACCTATCTTATGGCATTAACAATGTCAGCATGATCCATCTAACTAAAGCAGAGCTGGCAAATCTGTCGGCTCTTTCATTGTAACAACGCCCGCATGCCCTGGGACAAGGATGAAGGTAACTCTACGCACAGTGGAGTTTTGCAATGACTCGATCCACTGTCTGCCTACAAAGCCTGCCTCGACCGGCCAAGTATGGGTTAACATAAGTGCGGGCAGTCATAAGTTGACATAGGCCTAAGTCAAAAAGGTGTATACACATTGCTTTGTGTGAGTTGACTGGGGTTCTATGCTCTGCTGGAAAATGACAGTTTAATGCAGATAATTTAGCAGCAGGTTACCTTGATATACCAGGGAGACCAATTATTCACTTGTATTTGGTTCCTTAATCTTAGGTCAGTTATTCATTTCTTATACCCTCATAAAAGAGCAGTCATGACAGCAGACTAGAACCCTGTATATTGGCATTAACCCTTTCACCCCATAAGGCTGCAAAACTAAAACTTCGGGCTGAGTCCAATTCCCTTTAAATGTCACTTTCCTGACTTATCTATAGTGACCAGTTTATGAGATGCAGTTTATGCCAGTGGCTGTCTTCAAGCCTGTGTAAATATTTAGAAGGTGCGGATACTAATTAATGAACTAAAATTAACATTTGAAGGGTGGGAGTTTCCTCTAAGCCCATTAGCTTTTTTCACTAGCAAAATCAGGTCAAAGTTACATAAAAGAGCAGTCATGACAGCAGACTAGAACCCTGTATATTGGCATTAACCCTTTCACCCCATAAGGCTGCAAAACTAAAACTTCGGGCTGAGTCCAATTCCCTTTAAATGTCACTTTCCTGACTTATCTATAGTGACCAGTTTATGAGATGCAGTTTATGCCAGTGGCTGTCTTCAAGCCTGTGTAAATATTTAGAAGGTGCGGATACTAATTAATGAACTAAAATTAACATTTGAAGGGTGGGAGTTTCCTCTAAGCCCATTAGCTTTTTTCACTAGCAAAATCAGGTCAAAGTTACATGTAAGCCTCACTGACATAGAGGTCATGGTTTACAGCATGAGTCTCATCATAGACACAAAATGTTTGTGTCTACCCTGGGAATGTATTCAATACGGTGCTTCACCCTGTTTGAATTCAATGATTACTCCTTTTATTTATCTATTGGTTTTGGACAAATGAAAATTAAAAACAGTTTACAAATTTATTAGTGCCCGGGGTAATATTAAAATTTTTTTGAAAGGATTTTCTTTCAGGAATCCCAACGGGGTCATGGCATATTTTAGTGTTCCTAGGGCGAGACGGTTAATGTTCTATGCCCTTTATTTTCCCATTAGCAGTACCAGGCTGGTCACTTGATGTGTATTATTGTGCATATGCTATTTTCCACCAATGTGCAACCAATTAAGTACATTCTTCACCTTGTTTCAGAGTTTCATTCAAGTTAATACTCAATGGCACAAACATTGGACCAATATTGCAGTGTTCTCAATGCCTCATACCTGTAACCACGAACATTAAAGCCTTTGTCGTGTTGCTAATCATTGTTAACGTGGTAACTTCACAGACAACTGGATTAACAAAAAACTTTCCTGGTGCAGATTTCAGACACCCATTTCGTTTGCTCAGAGATGAGTTAGCCACCCATCGATACTCACCAAGCTCACACGCGCAATGACCTCATCCAGATCATTTTCACATCTTCTTCTTCACCAGCTGTACACTCTGGCGGAAAGTTCTGGTTGCTCGTCCACTAGTGAACTGCAGTCCTGCTCCAGAACCTGAGTGTTGCGTGTGCATCAGTTTTACAGATCTCATTCTCTTGAATACAGACTGTTGGTTCCTTGCCTCTCCGGCAGATGTACTTCGACTTCAAAGGAAGCTCCCCAATTAGTCGACTCTTACGACATGCTTTTGTTTTTCCCATAATGGGGCCCCGGAACCCACACGGGGGCATTTTCATATGAATACAACAAAGGCTATGAAGAGCAAAAGCATCTCGAAATATACAAAAATAGCCCAACCCAACAACACAAATATCCAAATATACATCAAGACTGCAGCTCTTAACAATAGTAATTTTATTCTATTTAGGCAAATTAGCTCCACCACCCTGACTTCAAACCTAAATGTTTCAATTCGCACACACTGGGGGTCTAAACTAAAAACCTACCTTTTCTCGGGCGACAGACTTCTGTGCTCCAACTTCTCAACCTCCCGTCTCTCTCTTGCAAGCTGTTCCTTTATCTGCTCCTCTTTCTTTTTCACAGCTTCTTTTATCCTCTCTTGCTCTTCCTGTTTAACATCAACATAAATCTAAGATTAATGTCTGGTAAAACCATGTCGAAGTGTGCTAACTGATCAAATAACATGACCTTGTGATGCTGGCTAGCAATACAAATCACTTTTTCAGCTTTAAAAGTGCACAAGTCAGTCATTCTATTACCTGATTAAATCCCTTATTTTTTTTGCCCTCTATGCCACAATGGAGTATAGGCACCCAACCAACTCACGCCACATGGCAGTATTTCTTGTTTGTCTTTTTGACTTTCTCATGATTTGGTAATTTTGGCAGTTTTGTGTAATTTTTTTTTACAGCATGGGGTAGATATCCCCAAGCCTACCCTTAGTTGCCTCTTACCACATACCAGGTTTTGAATTCAGTGTCGCTATTCTTTGCTTCCTATTATCTGTAATTAAAGGATATTTTCCTCCTTATCAAACTGCTATGGCCGATGGGTAAATGTATCAGTCTCAACATTAAAAACCCTTGTTCTAATACACTGTGAAACAAACAATTTGTTATTTATCAGAGCTAGACTTTTAAAATACCAAGATTGTTAATTATTTAGTTGACAGATCATCCTCACTGCACACTGAGCCATTCAGTCCAATAGTGTATGAATCCTCTTCTCAGAAGATTCTGCAGCTTGCAACAATAACACCAGTTCTGTGTTAAGTTTGTTTTTTAAACTTTTCTTTGGCTTCCTGTATAGTTCTCTTGTCTGGCCATACCCATTTTAACCTGCAGTTCTTGCAGTCTGGTTATGGTTTAGATTCAGTCCCATGGTTCTTGACAACGTCTTACTTCTCATAGAGCATTCAATATATCAGCCTGCTAAAATCCCAAGGGGCAAACAGCGCTGCGACTGCATGGAAAAGCAGCTATCATTTACGTCGAATCTCAGACACTAAAGGTTATGAACAATAAGTTGCTAATTTCACCACCCCTTTCTGACCATAAAACAGTACATTCTGGTGGTCAGTTCAGTCTAGCATTAGAAAATCACGCTAAAACCTTTATAGAAATTTCACTTTACTCAGTCGATCCTCTTATATCTTAGGAAGTTGAGGTTTGTCAGAGAAATCGTCAGACTTCTTTATCAGCAGTTTACTTCTTGGCTTCGCTCCATTCGTCCTTCGTCAGCCAGGGACTGTCCGATACTGTCTTCCCAGCGAACCCTGGGTCGTCTGGTTCTGGGCATCCTTTGTTTGCAGAACATATCCAAACCATCGTAACTGCGACTAATCTACTTGAGTTTGTATGGCCTGGGTTTTAAGGTCCCACCGTACTGCTCGACTGCATACTTTGGACGATCTTCCTCAGATACCTCAGAAACAGAAACACCATTCATAATTATCACAGACATGTAGAGCTGCTGAGCCACACAGACTGATGCACCAGGAACTGGGCACAAACTTGTCAAGACCTACCTATACATCTCTGGGGTCGTGCTAGCCACAAGTTGCCTACCAGGGGCTAGCCAAAATGGGTAGGATCAGTGTTTCCTAGGAAGTCAGACTGCATCTGCCTGAGAGAGGCAAGGAACATCTGCACGCAAATAAGCCAGGTCGGTAAAATGGGCATGCATGCAACACGCAAGACCTGGCACAAGGCTAAAGTCAAAGCTAGATGAACAACAACGGCTTTCAGTGGATGTTTCAAAGAATATAATTATTAAACCCCCAGTAAATGCAAGACTGGTACTGTCCACAGATGATATACTTAGACTAACTTGTCTTTGCTTGATTTCATTTTTCTTCTGCTCCAAAAACTGGTTAGGAATACCAGTAACATTATCCTGGGCACTACACAGGTGGTCCCAGAGCTCACTGAGAAATATTCTTGCATTCTTCCCATTGAGGAAGCCAGTCAGGTTGATCTGCATCTCTTTGGCATCAGGGTGCTGCAGATATACATAAAGGGAAGAAGCCATGCATAAGTCTTAGAACATACCAGAGTCCAGCCTTAAAATGTACTAACAGCTACAGAAACTGTGTCGACATTCTTATTGTATGAATACATCTCAACAGTTGAAAATAAGGCTGAATAAAGTCTTTTTGTTTCAGATGACAAAGAATTTGACCGAAATGTTCAACTGTACCTGTGTTATTTGTCTTCCTTTTTGCCCAGCGTTGAGCTTTAGTCATAATTTATGCGCAGTAAATAAATTACCTGACTATATTTCAAAGCCTTAAATTAAATCAACAATTCTGTCCTTGTCAAGTGACATTGGTAATTGCTGCAGTGAAGGTGTAGAAAAGACATGAAATTTATTCATTTTTTTAAAGAGATTTAGCTAATGAAAAATGTTTCTACCAATATTTATAATCAAACTACAAGTCACAGGCAGAGACTGTTCTAAAACAGCAAAACCTCGGTCCATTGTCAGTGTCTGTCGTGGCTAATATTGCTTTCAAAGCAGACAGATATATATATACTCATTTACACAGAATCATGGCGTGTTTACCATATGGTGGTGAAGGCCTTCTGGGTGAAATGTTCATTCTATTTCTAATTGTTTTATTGATAAATTTACTAGTTTTATTTCTTGTTTAGATTAAATTGTCAAGCTACAAACAGAAAATGGCAGGCAGAAATACACCGGATGGAAGACATTATAGTTATTTTAACTGTGTATCAAATATAAACTATTTCTACTGTCGTCATTTCATATCTGTAAATAAAATGTTTAAAAGTAGAAGAAATTTTTTTAAGTATATACATGAACAATGGCAATGTAAATGATCTGATGTAATGGACACAAATCTGTTCACTTCACTGCTCCAAGCTGCATTCTTTCAGGACGCAGCACCGTGGAAGAACAAAGCATCAAAGACTACTCCATAAGCTGCGGCATCAAATGGCAAGTTTTCAGTTTCTTGTCCAATGAATGACTCCATAAAACCAACACTTGAACACAAGGATAACGATGAGCATGACCCAAAGGCCGCTGCGCTCCTCCACCACACAGGTCAAGGCTACAACGTTCTAGCCTTGACCTGGGTCAACCTAGGAGGCATCCAACCAATCAAATGAAATGTCTGTTATCTCTGCAAAAAAGATGTGCCCCATCAGTAACACCAGCGCGTACAAGTGTGCACATTCTCACATATTCAAGGCAACTGACAGACATATCGAACATACAAGACAACTGACATATAGATGTACACCCAATCTAACCAAAAGACATCCAGACACATACATAAATGATAGATATCACACACTCAGGCCAATTATCATAGAGGTACACACACTGAAGCCAACTGACACACAGATGTACACCCATTCTAACCAACAGACAAATAGTACATTTACCATATTTATGACATACAGATACCAGTCACACATTCAAGTCAAATGACATACAAACATCAAAAACACTACTTAACATACACACACCCAAACACCACATAAAAAAGTCAATTAACCAACAGATATAAATATGAAAACATGTGGCTCCCAGGTTGAACCAGCCTTAATTGGGTACCAGGTGGAGACGGGGGGGGGGGGGGGGGGGGGGGGGCTTTACGTTTTGCTTTTATAAATATATAAATACACACACACAGATCAATTTAAGACATAAATCCTATAATCCATACCTATTACATATTTAATACAAAATTTACAACTCCCAGTTTAGCAAGTCTAATTGTAAGCAGCAGACAAACTTATCAATTGTCCAACTCCACCAAAAAACGCCCGGTCAGAACAGAATGGTTTTCTGCTCATGTCTTTGTTTAACAGAGGTCCAGGGTGCCCCCCCCCCCCCCCCCCCCCCAATAAAACAACAGAAGTGGCTTACAAGAATAAAACGCAGCTTTAACTTAGAAAACCATGTAGCCTCGAGAAACCACATGCTTAGGGGTCGGGCTGATATCTGTCGCTGTGTGGCGTAGACAGCGTGTCCCCCCTTTGTTGTGTCTCTATCCTTGTAGTGGTTAAGGGGTTTGTGTGTTCCAGTTACTCTAAGAGTTATGCTGATGGTAGCTTAGCCACTGGAAGGGTCTCCCATGTTAGACAGGAGAGGAGCCAGACAAAGAGAGACATGCCTTAAATGGTATGTCATCAATGAAAATATATCGATATGATGCTAATCTCATGGAGCCACCACCAAGCTGAGATAGTGCTGGGCCCTATGCCTCAAAGGGGCCCACCCCGTGAAAAAGAAGAAATCAGCAGGGAAGGATGAAAACACAAATGAAATGATAATAGGACTGGGTACTAGGGCACACACAAAAAAAGCAATTACTAGCAGTCTTTAACTGCAGCTGGAAGAGAGGAATAGTCCCTGAGGCATGGAAGAAAGCTACAGTAATACCAGTCCAGAAGAAAGGAAAAGACCCGGTAGAACCAAATGCCCATCGATCAATCAGCGTACTCAGCTGTGTGTGTAGGGGAACTGATGGAACTCATTATATATAACAGCAGATTAATGGGTCATCTAGAAGAAAAGCAACTACTAACTACACAACAGACAGGATTTAGAAAGTACAGATCCATTGAAGACCAAATAACATACACAGCCATGAAAAAAGAGGATGCCTGTCAAGAAAATAAACACACACACTAGCAGTATGGGTAAACTAAAAAAAAAAAAAAAAACATAAGGTAAAGTATGGAAGGAAGGACTGAAAGTAACTACAAAAAATGGACATCTGTGGGAAAATGTACAACTGGATCAGTCAACACTTGAGAATAGAACTGCCAGGCAGGACTAAAGTACAAGGACAAACTAGCAAAATAATGCTAGAACAAGGTGTACCCCAAGGGGGAGTATTGTCACCGACATTGTTCTTAGCATATTTAATTATATTAATTTTCCAACCAGCATACACACCATTTTTTGCAGACCTATTTCTGGTAAATTTTAATTTGGGCAGTGACTATATTGATGTTCTGGTAATAAGATGTATAAAAACAGATTATGTCATTAGTGTATTCTAGTAGAAAAGATTTGGTTTATGTGCTTCATTATAACTTGATGTAATTTGTAGTATTGCAAATGACATAACAGGCAAATATATGCCAGGCGATAAATTATATATTTCAATTAGTCTTCTTCTGCAAAAACAATTTACAATTTCCTGTTAACAATAATAATACTCAACTTGTGTGTGCCATACATTCTTCACGAATAGTTGTTTGTTTGGTGACTCCAATTCCACTAGATGGATGTAAAGGTGAACTGTAATGTTTTATTTCTGAGATTCCATGTCACACCTGGCAAGTAACTATGTGGATATTAAACCTATAACAGTACTATATGAGTAGCAGCATATGCTACTGCAATTCATGAGACAGTGCACTGTAAAAAAAAAAACTATGTACCATTTCCTTATCTTCTCTACTTCATATGTTCTCTTGTTGTGTTATTCATTGTTTCTAAGCTATTTTAATGTGCAATTCCACGATGTTTTAATTTGTAATTCTAGCAAATTGTAATATGTGATTCTAAAATTTTTTAATAAGCAATTCTATGATATTTTAATGTGTAATTTCAACATATTTTAAAATGTAATCTGAACCTATTTTAATGTGCTCTACTTTTAACACAGATGTATTCACATCATTACAACCACTTTAATTTCAAAGGTAAAATTTGCATGACAAGAATTGGTAAATGCATATCAATTATTTCTGTTCTCATATAACTCAAGAATATTTCTTTTGTTCAAAAATTTTGTTTCTTTGGTAACTTCTTTTTTTTTTTTCAGCATTACAAACCTTTAAGATTCACAGCTGCAAACATCACCTGCCTCGATGCATCTCTGTTAACTGGCTTTCTATTTCCAGTTTATAACTTCAAGTGTTGTAGGTCTGCTTGTATATTACCTCTATATCGTTTACGCAGCCTGCTTCCATTCACATCTTTTGCGTATACAAATTTTATCTCGCTGTTATCTGAACTTCTTTTTATATGCCCCGACCGTATAAGCCTACTGATAACCGGTTCCTTAAAATATTATTGCTGTCCCCATCATTTGTGTGCCCGAGTTTCTTTAAGAGATACCTGTTTGAACTACGCACTTAGATAAACTCAAGAAGCAACCTTTTAACTTCCTGACCAACTCACCCATAGCAAGAGCTAATACACAAACGTTCTATAATCCAGAGTAGCAATACCCTGCCATCCCACTATCTCTTTTGGCTTCATGGCACTAGATGGCTAAAACTAGACCCACACAAAACCAAATGGATAATAATGATACAAACCCACCATTGAGGTAAGCAGATGATTTATCTCTGAGGCAGCCTGAAAAGAGTATCTAGCTACCAAAGCATTGAGAAAACTGGGGGCAGCCCACATCCGTGCTCAGTTGTGAGTGACTATGCTTGTGAGGGCCAATTTGTTTATAGTACTTCTCTGAGCGTAAGAGGAAAGTCAACAAATGAGTAAACATCCAACACTGGCCCAACACAAAGTTTTTATCAACGCTGAGGTTGAAAGCGTATTATAAAATATTTTTAAATTAAATAATAAGACAGTCCATATTCTGTATACGATTTTTTTCAACTTAAAATCAATAATTTTAATCATATATATGCTTAGAGGATATTGTCATTTTATAGTGAAACTAGATTTAGAATTACACTATAAGAAAACATTAAAGAAGATAGGAAAATACATAAACGTGTGAAACACAGCACAATAGCTTAGAGGACAAGATGCTTTGCAGAGATTCAAAGAATCATTTTGGCAAAGTGGACTTGAGCAAAATGAAAAATATACAATAAAAAGATTGATAACTGTAGTGGGGAAAAAAGAGAATCTACACTAGTCATGCATATGAACACATGGACAAATACCTAGCTGCAGTGAAATTGTGGTTCCTGCGAAAATGCAAATACAAAGAGGCAGACAGAAAGTGAATAAGGCGGTCCTGGACATGGACGAATCTCCTAAACTGATTAGAAACATTAGACAAAAAAAGTTAAAAAGTATTTAGGGCACATGACATGGAGAAATAAAGTCGCAATTTTGTGAAAACTGGTAGGTACAATTAAGAAACAGCTAAGGGCAGACAAAATGATAAAATGTCTCAACAGAACAGACCATACAAAAGACATGACAGTAAATTGACAAACCATGATAATTCTCCTTTAAAGGTAATATACATATGATGACGTTGATGTGTACCATTCAATAAAAGTAGACATTCATCAACATAATGTGCCTTTTTCAGTAGCAGCAGAAACAAAGGACTCTATACATATTTTTTTTTAAACAAAGCTGTATATAACTTTGATAACAGCATTAGGAAACAATGTACAGTTAAGAAACATTCTCACATATCATATCAATTAATATTTTAAACTAAAAATACATTTAAATCAAGGTCAAATTAACAAAAATGGTAGAAAGAACATGTCCTGGTTTCTTACCCTTTCTTCAAGCTGATTGTAGACAAACTCGACAACGACATCATCTTCTATTCCTAGCAACTCTGTGATCCGCTGAGCTATCCACGGCTTCAAACTGTCAACGTTGACTTTCGTCATATCAACCTGGCAATAAATGTGTATCATTTTTTTAAACGTTACTGGCTGGATATGTCACTTTTTATGGCAGTTTAGATGGGAGGGTCTCGAGCCTGGAGATTTTTCCCTGTTTGGGATCAGGGGCTTCCCTGGTGGAGGCTGGAGAATAGATCTACTGCCCCCTTCACAAGCAGGTCACAACAGGTGACTGATTGGGGATGTTTCCTTTAAAGTTGGAGTGCATCTGGCTGAGAAGCTAAAAACTAACAATCTGCATGGAAATAAACCAGACCTGTAAAATGGATGTGCACGTAAAGCCCAAGTGACAATTAGAGACAGAGAGAAAAAAGACATAGGGGCAATAAAACCATGCTGATATTAAACAAATAAAACTAATATAGAAGAAAACAATGCCTGGCTGCTTGCTGAACCTATCCCCCAAGCACAGCAAGACTTTGATTGGTTGGAAAGAGGCAGGCAGCTGCTTTACTACAATGTCTGGTTTGTTCTTTAATAGAGTGATGACTGTCTAACAGATGGGTCTTATATTTCTGATTTGTTTCATTTTTTTTATTTCAAGGTTACTGATGACAAACTTCAAGTCCTTTAAATGTTTCCAGGCTTCTGAAGACCTTGAAAGACAAGCAGCCTTTCAAGGGGTTTTCAAGGTTCGCAACGAGCCCTGAAGGTGTATTCTATACACTGCTCTCATCGTCATGCTGGTCAGTCCATGCCCATCTTCTTTAATGCTGTTCTTTCCCATCCCTGTGGTCTTAGCGCCAAAGTATTTTAGTTCTGAGAAAAGATGCTGTTTTCAAGCCATTTTTCTTTGATGTTCAGATCTTTCTTTCTTTGTTCACCAGCTGTAAGTCCTGGTTGTTAGTCTATTTGAACTTTGGCTTTGTGTCAAGGCTTAAGTTTTGCGTGTACATCTGTTTTACTGGCTTATTTGTGTGCAGCTGGTTGTTTCTTGTCACTTAGGCAGATGCACTACAAATTTAAATGAGGTCTCTAATTGGTAGATTCTTACGACATGCTTTTTTGGGAAAGCAGGAGGGTCTATTCTTGTTTTTCCCACAATGGGGCCCCAGAACCCACACAGGGATGTTCAGATCTGTTAGGACGCCAACATTTCTTTTCTTCTTGGCCTATGGTATTTCAAGAATCTTTCTACTGTATCTCATCTTTAAAATGCCATTTTATTTCCTTATGATTGTGAGCTAGTCCACGACTTGCATCCGTATGTTGCTTCAAGAAAGGTGCATTCTCTCATTTACTTGGTGCTTAGCCAAAGAATTGTTAGCGGGACACTGAATACATAAAATGAACAGTAATTTTACAAATACAATTCTGATAAAGACAGAAAATGCAGAAAGCAGAAAAAAAAAAAACATTTTTGCAACTCTAATGTAGACATCAAAAACATATTTTTTCTTGAACAGTTTCTATCCATACCATTACTTACCTTTCTTTCTAATCCTTCACCAAACTTCATTGTCTTTAAAAGTTTCTTTCTCTTGTCAGAAAACCGAGTATCCTGCTGGGCAGTGGTGCCCTAAAGACAACAAAAACACATGATGATGGGGGCACCAACAAGGCTTCTGGGTATTTTAAGCACATCACAAGCAAACCAATTTACAGTGAGAAGTCAATAAGTATATACCAAGGGTGAGCAACCTCTTACAGCCTGCGGGCCAAATTTAGAATTACCAGCCCAGTCGTAGACCATGGTGAAAAATTCCAATGTAAAAAATAACACCCAGATTTCACTACAACATAATATTTTTGTGGAATACTCTAAGATTACAATTCCTTGCTGCGCCTCTGGCCTGACACACTCACCCACTGAAGCCCTTCTATATATGCCCAAATATGTTCGTTGAAGCTGGTTATTTGCAGAAAATGAAAGAAAGTGGTAGGCAGCTCAGAGGGAGCCACATTAGAGTCATTTGAAACTAGCCTTGCAGGCCAGTAAAAACAGCTCAGCTGACCAGTTTTGAACTGTAAAGTAAGACTTAGTTTGCCCACCCCTGCTATATACAATGATTTTTTCATATCTATAATACCTATAACTCTCCACTACTGTAACTTTTAGGTATGTCAACTTAAGTAACTTACACCCATTAGTCATAAAGATGAATTGTTGATTTTTTTTTCCAGAAATAATTTAACTATTTCTGCCAAAGTTGACTACTATACATGGTTATGAATGGGAATAGCACAAAATTATTTATTTGTTGAGAGATATTTAAGATGCCTACCGCATAATTATGCATCTTGGCCTGTTCTTGAGAAACTCCTTCGTCAGAATTAAAACCCAACTAAGAATGATCAACAGCGGATAGGACCTCAAAACTGAAGCAAAAAATACCAAATTGCAGATTAGAATCAGGAGACGGAATCAAATTTACTAGGGTCACAAAACAGTTTTCTTAAAAAAAATTAACTTTGAAATTCAGTGCATGGGGAATAATATCAAGAACTTCTTGCCCAGTTTGGAGCTCCAGATATAGAAAACTATAAATTACATGCTATTTAAAATAAGCAACACGTTTGAAATCAAAAGCAATCTATATTTAATATCTGCAAACTAGGATACATGTAACCATCCTAGTCCAGAATGCAAAGCTTATTTAGCACTTCTTTCTCTGTAGATATGTTTGCCTCTCAAAACAACTTATTTCTCATCTACTGCTGATTATTTCTAAAGCATTCAACTCAATAGCAATCCTGAATACAATCTATAAAAATCTTAATTTCTATGAATTTATTTTAATAATTTTAAACAACTGGCTGGCATTAAGTTAGTAGAAAGCAAGATTATAGATCTGCTGCAAAAAAAAAAAAAAAACAAGATGTCTTGTTTTAAAACAATAGAAATGTTTCAATTTTAACCTTGCCCTTTTCACTAAAAATTAACTTGGATGGCTGGACAAGCAAAATAACTGCTAAACAAGCTATTTACCTAGCAAGTGTCTTGGGTCAGATAAATAAACTCCACCACTGACTTAGTTGGGCACAAGAGTTTAGAGCAAAACATTCCAAGCTTTTCAGGTAAGTGGTATATTTTTTCAGACAAAATGTGTGACATAGTAATTCAGTCTACTGGCAAAGCATAAGTTAAACAAAACACCTACAAGAGATATGGACGCACACATGAGCTGTAACAACAAAATCTTTTCGGCAAAACCAGTTATTTATATTAATAATATATATTTAAGATTAATGTCATTATAATTTATAAGTAGCAATAATAAAGCAAACTGAATAACAACAATAACTACCACTGAGGCAATTATTCTGTTCTAATGCTTTACATTCACGCTGACGCGCCTTTACACTTCAGCCAGCACACTAATGTGCCGTGACAGTTTGAAAAGTTATGATTTAGAGGCACGAATTCAAACAATCATTAAACTTTACATTTTACTACATCTTCTGGCTATCTGTACAATATCTGCTCACAAAGAACATGTATCTGGGGGGACAGAGACTGTTAAAAACACTTTCAACTAAAACCAGAAAACTAAAACATTTTCTAAGAAATTCAAGTGTTATTGTCAGAGACAAAAATCTGGAATTTAACCAAATGTAACCAGGCAATCAGTTCCAAATTTACAGAAAATGTGCAACAGGTCACCCCGTAGTTGCTTTGTTCTTGTGAGCAACAACAAGAAAAACACAATGTCAATCTCTGTCCCATGTGAAAAACTGACACGGACTGCAACTCAGCAAATCGAATTAGCATATACACATGCATATAAGGCAGCCATCAGAAGTGCCAACACAGACAGACACCAGAAATGCAGTTCATCAATGATGGCAGCAGCAGTTTCAACAGATCAGAAGCTGCAAACGCAATTAGTCACATAAGGCACCACCAGTTCTGCAGCAACAGGCAACTTGTCATTTTTTAAAATTGTAATAAGTTTTAAAAGAGATCTTGTAGCCCAGTGGCTTGCCCAGCAATTTTTTGCCTGAATCGCCCTCACGGTGGAGAATTTTAGATCAACACAGCACGTATAGGGACATGTTATGCAAAGTAAATGTGGCCTGATAGATTTTGACCATACCACCAATCAAGTTCAGTTTTACCTGTGACATTTCTAAGGTGCATCCTTGACCGAAGCAAGCAGCCATGACACACACAAATTTAATTTTCTAGGACTATTTACAGTGGAAATTTATGATATTATAATATGTCACAATATATGACTATACACATGAAAACTAAGTCACTGTTGCTAATATATTTCTATTACCTCCAACATGATATACAATTCATGAACAAAGAGTGGAAATCTGAAAGTAGTCAGCCTGCTGTATAAATGCATGACCACAAATTGGAAGTCGGTAAACAAACACATACATGCACACACATATTTATATGTGCTACAATAAAAAAAATTCAGACCTTTCAAAGCTATTTCTTATACAGGTCTTTATCTATATTATTGTCTAGAATTTTTTTAGCTGTATGCAACCTCAGGGGCCAATTATGTAAAGTATCTGAAATATAATTTTTACAAACAAAGAAAGGTGGGGCGGGGCGGGGGGGGGGGGGGGGGGGGGGGGGTGAAAAACTTTTTGCAATTCTAATATACATTTAAATTACTTTTCTTTAAATTTCAAAGGTAAAGGTAAAGTCAGGAGATGTGAACCAGCGTCATTGCACACGGTTATAAACCATTAAGTGCTCTGCCACCAGTACGGACAGCTAATAAGAATTGTCTGCCTGTGTCGCCGTTCGCACTTAACTCTGTACCTACAGCGACGTTCCATTTGCCCCAGCATCACTCTGGTACCCATTTACTAGAGGCTGGGTGAACACGGGGAACTGCCAGGTTTCGAACACGGACCATAAGCTGCAGCCAATCGCAGCTGGATTTGAAAGCGAGCTTCTCATCAACTAAGCTAACGCGGCCCCTTTAAAAATATAAGGTCAATGACAGACCTTAAAAAATAAAATGAATCTGTTGTATGTCTAACTGGGAACCACCGTCCTAGTAAAGGTGTAAGAGTGAAAACAGTGAGTTGCTCGACAAATCTTCTTAGTGGTTACTGGGTGTCAACTCCAGCGGGATGTTCTGGTTGTTTGTCCACTGAGGACGTCTTGTTGGAGAACCTGAAGTTCAGACGCACATCTATCTTACAGATGCAGCTTATTTGTATGCAGACTACGAGTCTAGCAGTTGAGTTCATATTTGCCTGAGGCCAAGGCCATAAAAAGGGTGTCCTTTGCTTGCTGTCCCCCTAATCAAAATTCCGGCTCTTCTCCGAACTTCTACCCCCGCATTATGGTGGCCTGAAATATCCGTTCAGGGCTCAGTCCAATGAAAAATGCGGACTTTCTGCCAAGGAACAAATCGCGGCAAAACTAGGATTACTTGACAATTTCAAGAGGCGCAACATTGCAGACGACAGTAGCAGGCGATAAAAGCGACCAGTGACAATGTCGAGCGTTTCTGCAGACGATAAAAGCGACCGTTGACAATTTTGAGACATTACAGACGATGAAAGCGATATGGCGGGTAGACCACGCGCTCCCACGCAGATTAGCAATACTGTTCTTCTGATTGAGGATTTAGCAGTGGTAGATGTCAGACTTGTCGACATGCGCAAAACGTGATTAAACTCACCGCCGACCGTATCCCCCGCGCCGCTACGCGTGGATAGGGGCTAAACTAGGTGCCTGGGACTCACGAGCAAAGTAACTGGAGGAAGTTGCAGGAGATGCAGTAGCTGCTGCTCGTGAGTCCCAGCCATCTAGTTTAGCCCCTATCCACGCCGCGCGGGGGGTACGGTCGGCGGTGAGGTATAGTCACAGAAACAGGTCCGCAAGTAACATATCGCTGAGACCCTGTTAGAGCATTTGTTTCGTTTTCCCGAGCCGATCCTAAATTTGCCGCAATTTGTTCGTCAACAGAAAGTCCGACAATGGAAAGGTTAACAGTCGCTATTATCGTTTGCTACTATCGTCTGCAGTGTTCCGTCTCTTAGAATTGTCAGGAAATCAGAAACAATATAAGAAACAGGTCCGCAAGTAACATATCGCTGAGACCCTGTTTATGCATTTGTTTTGTTTAACGGAGCCGGCATATTTTTAATAGAACTGAGCCCCGAATGGATATTTCAGGCTGCCATAATGGGATGGGGGTGTAGAAGTTCAGAGGAGAGCTAAAATTCCTAACACTGTTGTTTAGTTAAAACTTCAAATAATTAATATCATTATTATCATTTGGACAACATGGTAAATCTTAATCTAGGACTAGTGTGTATGTTGAAAGAGTTAGGCTTAGATTTATATCAGTATCAGCTAAAGTTATCTTTATCACATGGTATTTTTCATATAATAATAATACTTAATAATACATAATAATATATTTATTTACTTTTACTGGCAAAAAGTGAGAAACAACAGCCCGCCTCAATCAACAATCCCTATCAATCAGCCTATTACTCAAAATGAAAATGATAAACAAATGGTAAATAAAACAACACTGATGCAATTATAAAGCATACATACATCCTTAACTAGTGACATTTATAACTATAAATGACCATATTGTTGTTATGTGGTTAACGAAACGCAAAAACGTCAGGTACGACGAAACTTCAATGAATTGTTGTGTGCTCCAACAACGTCAAGACAAGATCACCACTCTCAAACAGCTATACAATCTAACCAAAACATTTGTTTTGACAACATCTTTTGCTTGCTCAATCGCTACTAATGGAAAACTTAACCCTCATTAAATGGCTGTAAACAAAAGAGGCACATCTGACAAGCAAAACGTCAAAAAACAAGAAAAATGTGAGTGTAATCTATGTACCCTGAAGAATCCGGCGTTAGACATGTTGTCAGTCTCGTCAATCCACGCACCAGTTCTCGCCCGCTCTCCTAGACACGCGCTTTTGCAGTGGCTATCAGTACGGCTGCCGGTGTCGATGGTGTTTACTGCTCGCCCGAATTAGATTCTTTGTTGAGTTGATTCAAGAACCGACATCACAGCAATCGGGGCATTTCCATAAGCGCTCCGTCCTCGTCTTTAGCAGGCAGTGCAGAATTCCAATGGTGCCAACAAAATTCTGATTAGACGTTTGTCTTGTTTTTCCTCTGATGGTCGAGTATCGACCAGATCCCCTCGTCAACTCCAGCTGCATCATTCTCAACAGACTGTCGTAATCCATTTGCTCCTCCGAATTGTACACGTTTTGATACACGGCCCTAAACACATTTGGCTTATCATGCATCAGCATTCCGCCAAGTTGTACAGTGCCAGCCAATATACCTGTTTGTTTCCCAGGAAACCGGCATACCCCGGAGACAAATATTCAGGCAATGCTCCTCACCCTTCACCTCAGAAGAGAAGCATGCCATTCAGCACGAAGCAGGCTTGCCCTCACCTTCCTCAACACGATTTGAGTCAGTTACAATCATGATGGGTGTGTGTGTGTGTGTCGTGTTCTCTAACCAGCGGAAACCTGCAGTGACCGACTCTATTCACTATTATCATTCTTAGTCTGGATGTTATGGTATCATATTCTAGGCTCTCCTGCATCAAACGTCGACCATTAGATTTTGCTAAGAACCTCGAAGCACTTCTTCTGCCTCTTGACACTGAATCATCTGTATACAAAATCAAATAATCTGAACGAACATTATCTTAAATTAATTGCTGAATTTCCACCTCCGTAGCACCTGCTGGCCACTTTCTGCACTCCCCGCTCAATGTGATCATAACATAAATCTGACTGTTCCGCTGTCCCTGTGACCCACTCATCTCCTCGCCTAATGTTCTTCAGATTGCAGGCCTGTCGGACTGTCTTCTGCTTGAGCCATCTATGACTACCCTCTTATCAGCCGCTGAACCATTGTCGCGCGCCCACGTGGGTAAATACACTGATATAGTGAGGGTGTGGGTTTGATCCTTAACAATGCCCACCCACGTGAGAAACTGGACTATTATCTAAGCTATGTTGATCCTAGACAGTCCTGGATAGCCAAGAAAACAGCGAGTGGCTCGTTCCATGAAATGAAAGTTGCTGTACTTGTATCCACAGGAGAAGGAGAAGGGATAGATAGATATCTGGATAAATCCACTGTGATATAATCCAGGTGCTCAGTTAACCCCTGCGACTGGTCTCCTCTCCTGGCATTACTTAAAAGCCCCCATCAAGTGATTTAAATATTTGTTAGCTGAAGTAAACTAATATGCACAAAGACACTTGAACCTAAGTACACAATTTACTTAACTCTGTGTAACAACATCAAAACGATTTATTTAATAAATCGAAATTAAAATGAACTTGTTTAGGCTAGTAGAGTTTAGGTTATGTGAATGATGATTTCATAAAGGTATTGGAAAGTAACAACCTTTGGACAGTTCTCGGCTTGAGACCCTGCCTATCTTTTCCAGTTTGTCGTCCTCACTGCTTTCTGCGGGTCGTTACACTCGACGGTCGGCAAATAATGGATGCCTACTAGTCCCTGCCCAATGTGGGAACTGGAGAATGAAGAAACAAGCGCATATTTGTAGTATCTGCTCTAGATGTACACTAAGCATGTATATTATATACTAACATCAAGCATGTTTATTTAAATAAAACATTTTATCTCTCCCTCATGCTCACATTCACTCCTGTCCAATTTGGAAGGGCTTATGTCTCACATTCCAACTGTTACATCTTCTGCCTTCCTCTACACGTCCTGTAATGATAGTCAAGTCTTCTACGTCAGGTGCCATCTCTCGTACAGACTCAAAATGACAATCAGTCAGACAGAACCAGTTCTGGAATCTATGCTTGGAACAATCGACGCGCCCAGAATGCTAACAATATTTCTGAGGCGAATCAAATACCAAATCTCAAGGATTTTCTCTCCGGGATCAATCTCCGCATTTGCCTCCCGAGAGTTAAACACATTTCAGTGTGTTAGCTGTATGTAATACAGATTCACATTAACCACACGTGAAAAGATTGCCAAAGTTATCTTCACGCTTGTGATTTCAAAAACATGATAGTTCATTAAATTTCAATGGCAACAACAACATTTAGGTTTTACAACATTGAAACACATGTACACGAAAAACATTCATGACACTATCAAATAGGAAATAAAGCAATGTGACAGTGCCCTACGAGAATGAAGAAATGTCCGCCTAGGAGTACTACAAAGTGATGAAGACACACACTTGAGTAAAAAGACAGTTAGAACTCTATCATAAAATATAGATTTGAACCTAATTTCGATCTTACCTGGAAAAATGAAACCACGATGCCAAAAGTTCTGTCTCAAGCTTAGGTTAAGCCCAACTGATGGCATGTGCTAGACAGGATCTTATTTACCAGACCTATAGTTCACCCCTTTATAACTTTTATCAAGCTCCTCCTACATTACGCCTAAAATCATTCTCATTCAAGGATATCATAGCTCCTCCCCTGTGGGTAAGTTTATTCGCTGTCAGTCAGTGACTGTACAACAATTGTTTGAATTCCCACGCTAGGATCTCCTGGTCAATTCATCTGACCAGAGCAAATAAGACAAGTCACACCTCTAGTCTACTTCACCTGTCATCACAATAAAATCCGACTTTGTCAATTCTTCTGCCAACACTTTCCGCTCACTGTGTCAATAGTGACCGTCGGACCTGCCGTCGAGTTAGGTAACCTCAGGGGGAGATAATGGCAATTAGCCCTTGTTATCTGTTCCTGAAGATCTGGCAGGGGGAATAACTATCTGACCCCAACAAATGGTGTGCAAATCTCCAGTCAGTAAGTCTGCTTGGTCAGTCTTATCTCTGTACCTCAACACTTAACATCTGGGAAAAAGTTGTAGTGTTTGATATGACCAACGGTCCAGGAGAATTAAGGTTTGATGTGGTCGTCTTACTTAGATTAAGGATGTATCCAAATCCCTATTTGTCTGTATACTTCAAAATACACACAAATAAAAGTAGGTTGAGGAAAGACATTCTGAAGTCACCGCGCGTATTGTCACAACCCCAACTGCGTCTAGATCTTCGTGCAGGGGGTGATCTGTGTCTGCAGCTGCCTTTAGGTATGACTTCACCTGCAGCACCTTGATCCTACCTGCAACAGTCGGCAAACCAAGGATGTATCGCATACACACCACTGGGGTGTCTGTGGTGCAACACAGAATTACCCGCATCGCTATGTTATGTATGCACTGTAGTTTACCCATCTGACTCTTTGAGACGGCAAGCAGTTTCAGTCCATAATCAATCACTGAAAGGATCAGATGCTGATAAAGCGTGAAAAGCATTCTCTGCTCCATGTCCATCGCAGTCATAGTCTTAAGTACATTGAGTCCCTTTTGGCATCTTGTCACAAAACTCCACATGGTCCTTGAAGGGCAGGCTCCTGTCAAATGTGATTCCCAAATACTTCAGTTTGTTCTCTTTGTCTCACTCCCTTGCCTATAAACGAGTATATCATCTGCAATAGTCAGTATTCTTCCGACTACTGATGCTTTTAGACCTGCAATCTTGTTCGTATACACATTAAAGAGAACAGGTCAGACGGTGGATCCCTGTGGCAGTCCTGGGCCTATAATATGTTGTTCTCAGGTCCGTGATCCCAGAAGGAGAGCAACCTGACGAGAATACAGGACAGGTGCCATCCAGTTCTCCAACCAGGGACTGACCCCGTCTCCATGAGTGCGGTCATCAAAATTTCGTATCCTACTCTTTTGTACGCATCCTCGAGATCCAGCACTACCGCCGTTTCCTGTCTGTTATGGAACCCTTCTCAGACGTCAAAGGCAAAAGTGGCTGCATTTGACCAGGTATCTTTACCTGGCCTGTAGCTCCTCAGATCACTTGGAAGAAGCATTCTCTTTCCAAAAACTCTTGCAGCTTGACTGCGACTATCTTCTCTAGAATCTTCCTGAAAGTGTTGTGTAAGGTGCTGATTCTAAAGCCATCGAGCTTTTAATGATCCTTACATGGTTTTGGGAGTGATGTTAGATAACTGTGCACCCAGTCCTAGGGTACTGAAGCTGTCCTGATGCATCTGCCTGTGGTTAAGCAGTTGGTCATCTCCGTCAGGTATACTGTCGTGAGGTGAGCAGCCAACCCTACCCGATGGACGAGTCGTGACTCTGACTTCCCTACGAGGACAGTCAAATTTCAAACTTAAACCCGTCCAGAAGGGTATATAGTCCCTTATATTGATATATACCTTTATCTGGTAATATATTCATTTCTAGACCCTCTAGTTGCTTTGATAAATCTTCATTTTCAAACTTGCAACTGTAGGTTGAAGATTTCTGGTATTTAATTCAGATATTCATGTAAGCCGGTTTACTTCCTTGGGTATGAATACAGGGGACTTCTTTCCCAGTGACGCTAAACGTAGTTTGAAGCGGGGATTTTCTGCCTGACTGCTTAGAAGAACAGATGTTCTCAAATGTGCCTCGTACATCTATGCTTTGAGGGGTCGGCCTTTTGTGTCTAGGACATTTCCTAAGCTTAGGATGATATCTCATTGGAGGCCAGGCAGTGAATCAGCAGTCCACAAAACCACCTACAAGGAAGTCACCTATGTCTAAGCCAGTGGTGGGCATCAGATGGTAAACCTAACTGTGGTCATCAATTAATGAAATCCTCCAGTGGGTTTGTGCCTCAAGTGGATGACTTGGTACCTGAGATCCTCCCCAGGAGCTTGGCTGTATCTCCAGTGTTCGAGTGTCTAGTGTGGGACTGTCTTGAACGTAACAACAGAGTGGCTGAACATCCAGCCAGTTCAAGTAACCAGGGATTCAGATAAGTGTGGGCAATCATGGGTTTATTGCTTCACTATTAAATGTCCACACTCATCATATGGATGATCTAGG